ACCTCCCAGAACATTGTTTTGTGCCACTCCCAACAGAAGTACTCCAGGTGGACACCTTCAGCAATCAGGACCTCCTCAGTTGCTCATAGAAAATCCCACCTTGGACTTTACAAAGACTTATGGGTAGAAAAGCCACACTAAGTAATTTACTACCCTGCACCACAGCTGCCCTGGAAACTGTCAGCTGGACAGCTTTCCAGGGCAGCCAGCCATGAGCCCAGGGTACTGAGAGGTAGTGGTCCACTTTCCTAAGTGACACAGTTTGCTCGGAGTGTAGATGGCCCCAGAAGGGGATCACCGCCCAGGCAATGCTCAGGACAAGAGGAGTGAAAGGTAAGAAATGCTATAGACGCTTTGCAAATTTGTCACCCTGGACAAAAGGACAATGTGCAAGGAAGGGATGCCTGGAAGATGAAGGCGGTCACAGGCCTCCGTAGGGAGGCAGCAAGTGCAGGGCGGTGGAGGGAAAGGAAGAACGTTGGCACTTGCAGCAAGGGGAAAAAGGAGGGATGGACAGGACATGGGATGTGGCCTCATCGCCTCCATGAGCCTCCTCCGCCATGTGACCAGACCTCGATGGCGGCCAGCTACCACTACTGACCATTTTAATTAAAGCTCCCAGAGGACCCTGACCAAATGGGGGAAGAGGCAGAACAGATTTTTCAATTTATATGGACTCTACAATTTCTGGAGCCAGAGGGTGGATGAACCCCTGAAATGGTTGGTCTGACATCATCTTTAAACCTTAAACCAGAAAGATCTGCTGAAGCCATTTTAAAAGCAAGTAAGAGTTTAGCTTAATTAGTAAATAAAAGAAGTTCTGCCTTCAGAATTATGCTCTTTTAAGATCTATATACCATGGTCTGCTACAAGAACGAACAAATCTGTCCTGGAAGTGCAGCCAGAATGCTCCCTGAAAGCTAAAATGGCCAGACTTTGTCTCACCTACTTTGCTCATGTGGTCAGAAGGGACCGTTCCCTTGAGAAGGACCTCATGGTTGGTTAAGTGGAGAGACAAATAAAAAGGGGAAGGCCCTCAGCAAGATGGACTGATGCAGTGGCTGCAATGATGGGCAGGGAGGGGCCATGGAGTCACTATGAGTTGCAGACGACTCGACAGCACCTAACAAGATCTCTACGGGATCAAATGGCCAACAGCAACACAAAAGGTTCGATAGCAACCTCAGAGGACAGTGAGTTTATGCTCATGAGGGAGGAACAACTCTGCCAAAAAGGGTGAGAACGGACGCACAGCTCAAAGAGCATGATCAGCGCACTGCATTTCAAGCGGTAGCTGCACCTGATAATCTGACCCGTGCAATGCAAATCCAAATACTGGCCCCCACACTAGTTCATGGCTGGTGCGGTAGTGGAGAGCGACAGGCTTTGGCAAGGCCCACTATGGCTACACACTTGCTTGGTGCTACCTCTTCTTCTTACTAAGGCACTCATTTGACACCTGCTGGGGGGGGGTGGCGTGGAGGTCCAGGACCCTGACACACAGCTGTCTGTTCAGCAGAGCAATGAACACCTCCTGCCTCCTTCTGGGGGACATGGAGACGCAAGCCTGCCCTGCCACCACCGAAGACATCCCCTCAGTTAAGCAAGCCCTTAATAAACCTCCAGGCTGACCATCATGGAGCTGCTGGCCTTCTCCAGTCTCGCGGCAGCTCAGACAGACTTGAAGTTACAGCTCTGTGCGTAGACAAATACCACGTGCTCACGTACAAATTCAACTTTGGCCACAGATGGGTCAGAAAGGGGCCCAGAGATTGCTGGGAGATGCAATCTCCATGGGCTCTGAGTGCCCCTGCCCCTTCTCAGTGTGCCAGCTAAAGGCCTTGAGCACTACATACCCGAGTCATTTCTAAGGGCTGTGGTTATGTGCCATGGAGTCAGACCCAACTCATAGCTACCCCTCCTTGGTTTTCCAAGGCAGTATCGCTATGGAAGTAGATTGATTGCCCCATCTTCCTTCCAAGCAGTGGCTGGTGGGTTTGAACCGCGAACCTTCCAGTTAGCAGTCAAATGCCACCAGAGCTCCCTTCTAAGGGCTATACTTGCAGCAAAAGCAACCTTGAGAACTGAGGTAACATCCCCCCACCCCAACAAACTGCAGGTTTGTTACCACTCATTATAACCCCAAATTAAACCCGCTGCCGTGAAGTCAATTCTGACTCCTAGTGACCCTATAGGACAGAGTACAACTACCCCATAGGGTTTCCAAGGCTGTCACCTTTCCAGAAACAGCCATATGTTTCTCCTACAGAGTGGATAGAGGGTTCAAACCACCAATCTTTCAGTTAACAGTTGAGAGCTGGACCAGTGCACCATGAGGGCTCTTCCAAGCTCAGCAGTCCTCACCTGTAATGTGGCCCGCTGTGTGCCCCAGTGTCCACGAGGAGCCCTTTGCACTGCCCTGCTGGAACCTGGCAGGGGAGGCATGGTGAACTGGCAAAAAGTAACAGGAGGCTCTGGCTCTTTTTACCTGGAGTGGTCAAGTCCATGGAACAGCGACTGGTAAGCTTATCAGCGTGTCCGCAGCAAGCGCTCACAGAGCCCGTGCACAGTTCCGGATGCACCAAAGGTATGTTCAGTCCTTGACTTCATGCTGCCCCGGACACGCACCCTCACCCACCCCCATCTCCCTTGTCACCTCTCGACACTGCTGAGAACAGAACTCAAGTGGACACTAGTGGAAAACGTAAAGCAGCAGGTTTTAACCTGCACAAGCCACAGGGAACCAAGGAAAGAAAGTTTCTCTAAGCAGTCATGCGAACAAATGAAGAATTGACAAAATATTAGCATTTTTTCAGACCCCTACTGACAGGCTAGATCTAAGCAATGATCAATAGGGACACAATCAGGAAAATCCAGAAAGTGGGAAAGTAGGCAACAAATAACACAAGTTTTCCAATAAATATATACTGAGGGGAGGGGGAGATCTGAGTGCAAATATCTGACTGTGTGGACCTTCCGTGGATTCATTCAAACAAACCAAATGAAAACAACACTTAGGCAAGAGGGGAATTTTGAACACAGACTGTATTTTCAGTGATATTAAAGAATTATAACTTTTTTTGGTGATAATAATGTATTTATTATTTTTTTCAAATTGTTTTTAAAAAAGAATCCTTACCTTTTAGAGACACATACGGAAATACCTGTAGATGAAGCAATACATTTGGTATTTATTTCAATATAATTGATAAAACAGGTGTGACAATGATTTGGGGATGGCTTTTCAGTGGGTGATGGATACACGGGGGTTCATTGTACTATTTTCTACACTGCTTTATATGATGAGAAGTTTCCACAATAAAAATGACAAAAGCTTTTACGTCCTTGTAGAAAAATATGCAAGAAAGGGGCTCATACTCACGATTTTGGGGGCTCTGGTGGCATAGTGCCTAAGACACTTGACGGTCCAAACCCGTCAGCCACTCCTCGGAAGGAAGATGGGGCAATCTACTTCCGTAGTGATACTGCCTCGGAAACCCAAGGAGGGGTCTCTATGAGTTGGGTTCGACTCGACGGCACGTAACAACAACAACTCACGATTTTAGGATGGTTCATACACAAACCTAACCCAATGCCATCAAGTAGATTCTGACTCATAGCGACCCTATAGGACATCTTGCTTATATTCTAGTGGAGTTGCAGACACATACACAGGTCATTAGGACCAAATGGGATCATCAGGAGACAGCAGACTACATCTGATGATGGAAATAATTTCTTATGTGCTATCTTTTTCAATTCTGAATGCTACTTCTCAAAAAAAAAAAAGTTTGTGTGTGTGGTTCAAATATTAGATGTCCTACTGACAAAATAAAGAGTATGAGAATTGGTTCCAAGAAGCTATGGCTACTTATTAATGTGCTGACAAGATGGGACGAGTACTTCAGACCTCAAAGCTTACATGAAATCTTTGCTATGAAATAAAATCTGAGCGCTTCCTCCCAGCCCCACCTGAAGTCACTCTTTTCCCGTGAATACACCGTGAATACTTTATTCCCCTAAAGACCTTCCCACCAAATATAGCACCTTCACCACTTCAGTTCATATTCAGAATTTTCAATTACAATGTTTATGCTGTCATTTTTGTCAAGGTAACAATAACAGATAGAAAACCAAGAAAAAGTCGACACCGAGATAGCAAAGTATTTGATGCTTAAAAGGCCAATGTATTGAGCACATCGTAACAAGTTGTCTACATGCTACTTCTTTTCCAGCATTTGAGGATCTGCTCATCATCCTCGGCGAGCCATCTGGCATCTGACACAGTGAAAAGAAATATTCTTGCTGACCTACAGGCTAGCCACATGGGGAAAGTGCCGGAGGAGAACGTAACATCCATCGTCTCTCACATCAGCAGCAAGTTCAAGTCAGGTCCATACTAAGGTAACTTGTAACAGAAGGCTATTTGGATCTGCCAGGGAAGGCACGGGAGGAGCGGAAGAAAAGGAGGGACTCAATGTCCTAGGATGGAGTGTAGAGGCTTCCAGTTGGAAAAACCCCTAGAAACACAGGAAGGCATTTGTCGCCTTAAGATGCCATACCCAGCAGAAAGCCTCCAAAGAAGCCCCCAGTCACAACCACGTTCTTCTTGACAAATGACAGCACCTGTGGACAGAAGACAGCACATGGTCGGCTCAGCACACGAGGGTGGACCACCCGCCCCAGTCAAGCGCCATCCCATGGATTCTGGCTCCTAGCGGCCCTAGAGGGCAGGGAGGAACCACCCACACCCCGTCAGAATCAACAACCTCGGTTGTCTCACCCTTAAAACACCCCATCAGAATCAACAACTTCAGCTCTCTCACCCTTAAAGCTGTGTCAGCTGATTGGGACATTGCCCAAAGGGACCCTGTGACCAGATGTGTTGGGCACATGGTGGATGAGGAGGAGAAAGAAGTCGTCGATCTTAACGAACGCTGACTCCTGAGCTAAGGGACCCACCCGAGACGGAATTCTCGAACTTCACCCACGCCCTCTGCGCGTGCCTTCACAGCAGCAGACCCACCCAACTCTCCGCGAAAAGCAAGCGACCTGTTCACCTCTCCCTCCACCTCGTGTCTACACCCCAGCTACCTTCGTCTTTCCCTGACCAACTCCTCACCCTTTCCCTCCCCTCCCCTGTGGCCAAACTCACTCCTCTTGTTGTTGTTGTTGTTGTTCGGTGCCATCACTGCTTTGAGTCAGTTGTTAGTCTGACTCACAGTGACCCCATGCACAGTAGAACGAAACACCGCCCGGTCCGGGGCCAGCCCCACGATCCTTCCTAGACCCGAGCCCATCGCTGCAGCTACCGTGTCAGCGCATCTTGCTGAGGGCCGTCCCCTTCTTCATTGTCCCTCCACTTTGCCAAGCATGACATCCTTCTCCAGGGAATGGTCCCTTCTGACAACAAGACCAAAGTAGGTGAGACAAAGTCTGGCCATTCTCGCCTCCACAGAGCATTCCGGCTGCACTTCCTCCAGGACAGACCTGTTAGTTCTTTTAGAAGCCCACGGTACTTTGAGCATTCTTTGCCAGCACCACAACTCAAAGCATCAATTCTTCTTCAGTCTTCCTTCTTCACTGTCCAGCTCTCACGTGCATATGAAGTGACTGAAAATACCACAGCTTCTGTCAAGCGCACCTTAGTCCTCAAGGAGTTATCTTTGCCTTTCAGCACTTGAAAGAAGTCCTCTGCAGCCAATTTGCCCAACGCTATATGACGTCTGAAATCTTGACTGCTGCTTCCATTGGTGTTAATTGTAGACTCAAGTAATACGAAGTCTTTGACAATTTCAATCTTTTCTTCATTTATTATGATGCTGCTTATTAGTCCCGTTCTGAGGACTTTTGTTTTCTTTATACTGAGGTGTAATCCATACTGCAGACTGTATGTACTCTTCAATCTGCATTGGTAAGTGTTTCAAGTCATCCTCACTTTCAGTGAGAAAAGTTGTGTCATCTGCATAACACAGGTTGTTAATGAGTCTTCCTCCAATCCTGACACCACGGTTCTTCTTCATACAGTCCAGCTTCTCAGATTATCTGTGCAGCACACACAATGAGTAAGTACGGTAAAAGGATACAACGCTGACGCACTCCCTTCTTGATTTTAAACCATGCAGTGTCCCCTTGTTCTGTTCAAACGACAGCCTCCTGGTCTATGTACAGGCTTCTCATGAGCACAATTAAGCGTTCTGGAATTCCCGTTCTTCTCAATGTTATCCATAATTTGTTATGATCCACACAATCGAATGCTTTTGCATAGTAAAACACAAGTAAACATCTTTCTGGTATTCTTTGCTATCAGCCAAGATCCATCTGACATCAACAGTGATATCCCTTGTTCCACATCCTCTTCTGAATCCAGCTGGCATTTCTGGAAGTTCTGTCAATATACCGCTGTAACGGTTTTTGAATTATTTTCCGTAAGATTTTACTTGCATGCGATATTAATGAAATTGTTCAATAATTTCCACATTGGGTGGGATCACCTTTCTTTGGAATGGGTACAAATATGGTTCTTTTCTAATCAGTTGGCCACGCAGTTGTCTTCCAAATCTCCTGGCAGAGCCGAGTGAGCCTCCAGGGCGGCATCCGTTTGTTGAAACATTTCAATGGGTATCCTGTTAATGCCTGGAGCCTTGTTTTTCGCCGCTTCCCTCGGTGCAGCTTCAACTTCTTCCTTCAATACCATTGGTTCTTGGTCATATGCCACCTCTTGAAATGGATGAACACTGACCAGTTCTTTTTGGTACAGTGACTCTGTGAATTCCTTCCATCTTATTTTGATGCTTCCTGCATCATTCACTATATTGCCCATAGAATCTTTCAATATCGCAACTCGAGGCTTAAATTTCCTCTTCAGCTCTCTTTCAGCTTGAGAAATGCTGAACATGTTCTTCCCTTTTGGCTTTCCATGTTTTCACACATTTCATTATAATAATTGACTCTGTCTTCTTGAGCTGCTCTTTGAAATCTTCTGTTTAGCTCTTTTATCTTGTATTTCTTCCATTTGCTTTAGCTACTCTCCATTCGAGGGCAAGTTTCAGAGTCTTTTCTGACATCCATTTTGGTCTTTTCTTCCTTTCCTCTCTTTAATGACCTTTTGCTTTCTTCATGGATGATGTTCTTGATGTCATCCCACAATTCCTCTGGTTTTTGGTCACTGGTATTCAATGCATCAAATCTGTTCCTTAAATGGTCTCTAAATTCAGAAGGGATGTAATCAAAGTCATATTTTAGCTCTCATGGACTTGTTTTAATTGTCTTCAACTTCAAGTTGAACTTGCAAATAAGCAGTTGATGGTCTGTTCCACAATCAGCTCCTAGCCTTGTTTTGGCTGAAGAGATTGAGCTTCTCCATTACCTCTTTCCACAGATGTAGTTGACCTGATTCCTGTGTATTCCATCTGGTGAGGTCCAGCCACCATGTCTGTGTTGTTGAAAAAAGGTATTTGCAATGAACAAGTCATTGGTCTTGCAAAATTCCACCATGCGATCTCCAGCATTATTTCTGTCACCAAGGCCAAATTTTCCAACTACCGGTGATTCTTCTTTGTTTCCAACTTTTGCATTCCAGTCACCAGTGATAATTAACACATCCTGATTGCATGTTTGGTCAATTTCAGACTCCAGAAGTTGGTAAAAATCTTCAATTTCCTCCTCTTTGGCTTTGGCGGTTGATGCGTAATTTGAATCATAGTAGTACTAACTGGCTTCCCTTCTAGGTGTATGGATATAATAATTCTATCAATGACAGCACAGTACTTCAGGATAGATCTTGAAACATTCTTTTTGATGATGAATGCCACGTCATTCCGCTTCAATTTGCCATTCCCAACATAGATCATATGGTTGTCTGATTCAAAATGGCCAAAACCAGTCCACTTCAGCTCACTAATGTCTAGGATATCAATCTTTATGTGTTCCATTTCATTCTTAACAACTTCCAATTTTCCTAAATGCATCGGTAAGTGTAAGCATCTGTAATGCTCCTTAGCTTTCTTCATGTCCTTCTCCAAACACTGCCAGTCGACCTTTTTGTAGCCAGCATGGTTTGTAATCTACAGTTCCAGAGGAAGTAACAAAAATCATTCCATGTTCATACATTACATGTTCCAATTATCAATGGATGTTTGTAGCTGTTTCTTCTCATATTGAGTCGTGCCACTTCAGCAAATGGAGGCCCCGAAAGCTCTACTTTATCCACATCACTAAGGTTGGCTCTACTCTGAGGAGGCAGCTCTTTCCCAGTCGTATTTTGAGTGCCTTCCAACCCGAGGGGCTCATCTTCCAGCACTGTATCAGGCAATGCTTCAGGGCTCTTCATAAAATTTCCCATTAATGTATCAGACAGTGTTTCACTACTATGCATAAGGTTTTCCCTGGCCAATTCTTTGAGAAGCGGATGGCCTCTTCTTTCTTCCAAGCCTGTCTCAGTCTGGAAGCTCCACTAAAAAACCAGTCCCCCGTGAGCATCCCGCACAGCCTCCAGCCTCACAGTGACATGCAAGCCACCCCAGTATGACAATCCAACAGAGAAGTTCGTCTCGCTCACCTGTTTCAACTGCTCCACCGCGTCCTGGGCTTCCCCCTACCTGTTCCTGCCGGCCCCATCTGCCGCTGCTCCCTGCCACCTGGGGCTGTCCCCCGCTCTCCTTACCGGTTCTGGCTGCCGGCCCTGTCTGCCACTGCTCCCTGCCGCCTCTTCTTCTCGATCAGAGTGAAAGTCATTTGCCCAGTCATCTGACTCAGACACCTCGGTCTGGTTCCTGACTCCAAGACCAGACCCTTCCTTGGACTTCCTCACCCCACACAGCACAGCTCTGACCCACTACTCCCACGGGACAGAAGGCATCCTCACCTCCTCCGCTTTGCTCCTGACTTCATTAGATATCTGGCCATTCTTCCGGAGCTTCAGTTGCTCCTTAGCTTTCTTCATGTCGTTCTCCACACGCTGCCAGTCGACCTTGATGTAGCCAGTATGGTTTGCAATCTAGGGTTGCAAGAGAAGTGACAAAAATCAGAAACACAGGCTGCTGCTTTTTGTCAGGAGAAATCACTGCTCTACCAATAAAAAAACCAAAACCCAAACCTATGAGTACATTTAGCAAAGGCCCAAATATAAAAGTCAACTGGATTCCCGTGCACTAGCAGCAGAGTTCAAAATGAAATTTAAAAAATCAGTATGTTGTTGTTGTTGTTATGGGCCGTCGAGTCAGACCCAGTCATAGTGACCCCTCCTTGGGTTGCCGAGGCAGTATCACTACGGCAGTAGATTGCCCCACCCTCCTTAAATCCACCACCATCAAGTCGATTCCAACTCATAGCAACCCTAGAGGACAGGGGAGAACTGTTCCACAGGGTTTCCAAAGTTGTCAATCTTTACAGAAGCAAACTGTCACATCTTTCTTCCACAGAGTGACTGGTGGTTAGCAGCTCAACAGTTAACCAGTGAGCCACCAGGGCTCCACCAAATATCAAGGCTTATTACAGAGGAAGTACAGTTAGATCCATACATGCAGGGATTTTGAACCACAATCATGGGAAAAGGGAAGAATTATTTAATAAATGCTGCTGGGAAGGGAGATGGGTCAAGGGCATGGGGTCGAGCAGCTGCCTATCTTCCTGGGTCAGGTTCCACAGATGTACTTCTAGTTCCTCTGCAGAGGGAAGATGAGACAGTCTGCTTCTCCAAAGATGACAGCTGCAAAGCCTGGTTGTTGCTGTTGTTGTTGTTGTTATGTGCCGTTGAGTCGGACCCGATTTAGAGCGACTGCTCCTTGGGTTTCCAAGGTGGTATCTCTACGGAAGTAGATTGTCCAACCTTCCTTCCGAGGAGTGGCTGGTGGGTTTGAACCGCCAGCCTTCTGGTTAGCAGTCAAGTGCTTTAGGCACTATGCTACCAGAGCTCCCAGTCAACTGATTGTTGTTGTTGTTGTTGTTATGTGCCGTCGAGTCGGACCCGACTCAGAGCGACCGCTCCTTGGGTTTCCGAGGCAGTATCACTACGGAAGTAGGATTGCCCAACCTTCCTTCCGAGGAGTGGCTGGTGGGTTTGAACCGCCAGCCTTCTGGTGAGCAGTCAAGTGCCTTAGGCACTATGTTCTGTCACCTGGGGTCTCCATGAGTCAGAACTGACTGGAGACCCACAGCAACAGGTTGGGGTTGTCAGTCACCATCAAGTCCATTCCAACTCACAGAGACCCCACGTTTGCAGAGCAGAACTGTTCCGTGTGCTTTTCAAGGCCATGACCTTCTCGGAGCAAATCTGTCTTTCAAGGTGCCTCTGGGTGGGTTTGAACCAGCAACCTTTCAGCCAGTAGTCAAGCACATTTACCATCTCGCCATGACCTATCAGATCCCAGCCAGTCACTGGCCTTCTTCCTGCATGTTTCAATTTCACTCTGTCCATTCAGACAGTCCATCAGAATCTCTAGCAGGGACCAGGCGTTAGTATTTTTGCAAACTCCTAGGCGACTCCGATGGAGAGTCGGGTTTGAGAAGTGGTATTACTACCACCGCACTATCCACCCATGCTTTTTACCTGCTGTCCTGGGATTGATGCTCCTTGTGAAACAGACTAGCTTAGCTTACGAGAAGAAAGCATTCCACAGGGCACTGGCTTCTCACCTTCTATTTTTGTAATCATATTTACTTAATGTTTCAACTGGCTGTAAAAGCCCTACAAGGGAACTATGACAAGGAAAATGTCCTTTGGTCCCCATTTTATAAAATGTGACCAGAAAGTGATGAATTTGGACTCACATGGCCAGTAGCTTTAAAAACATGCAAAAGGCAGTGTAGTGGACGATGGTAGGGCTTCAAGCTCCCCACATTGCATTTCTTATCGAGCAAGCAAAATGTCCAAACACCTAGGAACGTTTTATATACACACCTGAAGGAGAAAAAATCCACCGCCCACAGCTGTTGCTGCCAACTTCCCGACCTTCTGGAATATGAAACCTGTGCACCTACAAAAACCAAACCAACATCAGGTAAGTTGATGGGCTCTCAAGTGTACACAAATGTGCAATTCTACTTACCTTGATACGCCATCTCCTTCCCATGCCCTACAGGACGCCAGCCACCACAAGACACACGGCACACAGAAATAGCAAAGGCCCTGATTTGAGCCCTGGCTCCCCCATTTCTTTGGTCTTGAGCAAGTCAGTTAGGGTTATGTTGTTCAAAGGTGACTCTCACAGTTTTAAATGCCAGCATTCATGCAGTTAACCCAGTCCACGTCCAGTCTCATCAGGCCACTTTATAGAAATTGACAGCAAGCTGATTCTACAATTTATGTGAAAAACTCTAAGTATCTTAAGTAGGGAAAACAACTCTGAAAAAGAACAATGCTGCAAGATTTACACAGCTGCTTTCAGCAGGAGCGACAAACGTGCAGTCAGAACAATCCAAATCGTGGGATAGTGGCACAGAGACAGGCCAGTGCCCCCGTGCAGCAGGAAAGTCCAGCGCCAGTCGCCAAGTGCTGCACATTCACAGATAGCATATAGAAGAAGCTTGGCTTCTTACGGTGAGCCATATACAAAAGGCATCTCAAGCTGGGCCATGCTACTGTAACATCTCCATCCACTACTGTCCAGAGGAGAACATGGGAGAGAATGTTGGCGATCCTGGGTCAGGCAGGACCCCAAAAGCTCAAGCTCTCAGGAAAAAAAGAGTTGATAAACTGCACTTCAAAATAGTAACTTTTGTTCTTCAAAGACATGATTAAGATAATGGAAACCCACAGGGTAGAGAAGCATATTTGCAGATCGCATACCTGATCTAGGATTTGCCAGAATACATAAAGAACTCTCACAACTCAACAATGAGGAAACAAATAGCCCAATAAACATAGAAGGAAAAGACGTGAACAGAGCCTCGCCAAAGATAGACCAGACAGATGGGGGGGGCGGTCAGCCACGGAAGAGATGCTGACCCATCCGGCACTGTCGTCACGTGCTGTGGCGTTGGCCCCAACTTGCCCAGTTTTCTTGGCTACAATCTTTACGGAAGCAGATCTCCAGGTATTTCTCCCACTGAACTAAAACGCTGGCTGAGTGGGTTCAAACCACTGACCTTAAAGTTGGCAGAAAAAAATGAGAAAGCACAGCCACTGCTAAGCCATGACCTGGTGCCTCCAGGGCTCCTTCCCTGAATGCCCCCTGCCAGGGCGGTTCCAACTCACGGCAACCCCCGCTGGGCTCCCGAGGTGGTAAATCGTTGTGGAAGTAGATTCCACAGAGTGGCTGGCGGGCTGGAACCGCCAACCTTCAGGTTAGCAGTCACATGCGTTAGGCACTATGGCATCAGAGCTCCTTCATTAGGAACTGCAAAACTAAACCCTAATAGGAGACCATTTCATACCCACTGGGATGACTGTGATGAAAAGCCCAATACCACGTATCAGTAAGGACGTGGAGACACTGGAACCCTGACACACTCACTGCTGATGACGCTGGAAGGTGAGACAGCCTGTTTTGGTTACTTCGTGGTGTTCTAACAGGAAATACCATAGGTGGGTGACTGAAACAAACAGGAGTGTATTCTTTTACAGTTTTGGAGGCTAGAAGTCCAAATTCAAAGTGCCAAGCTCTCAGGGCTAGACGAAAGGCCCTCAACCTTGGGCTTCAGTCCTGCCCTTTGTTCCCAGCCCACTGGAGCTAGGAGGTGCCTCTTCACTCAGGCAGCTGCTGGCTGCTAACAAGCCAAGGTCAACAAGTAAAATGGCACAGTCCCAAGATTCTCAAACCACATGGTGGGCCACTAATTCAAGTCCATTAAGAGTCCCAAGATCGGCAGACCACATGGCAGGCTGCTGAACGACTTGGCTACATGCAGGAGTCAAGTGTGCCGAGAGCTGCAGACCTTCCTCCCAGCTGCTCCTTGTGTCCTGGCAGCAGCCCACAGCCCTAAGGCTGCTACCCAGCTGCTCCAGTAGATTCCACCGTGGGGCTGATGACCAGTCTCCTCACAGGGACTCACTGCATCTAGCTGCCCAGCCGCTCAATGAGGCCCAGCCAAGGTGACAGGTAACCAAACTACCATACAGCCCCTTGAGAACACAGTCTGTCAGGTTCTTCAAAACTTAAAACACTCACCTACAATATGACCCTGGCACACTACTCCTAGGTAATTACCCAAAAGAAATGAAAGCATATGTTCATTCAAAGACTTGTATGTGAATGTTCACAGTGGCTCTATTTACAACAGCCAAAAACTGGAAACAAGCCAAGTGTCCGGCAAAGGTGGCTAAAAGCAAATTGTGGTATATCCATGCAACAGAACACTAGTCAGTAATAAGAAAGCAATGAACCACCGATACACTAAAAGCATGGATCCAGGGCAACACAACTGTGCTGCAAGAACACAGATGAGAAGTGTATATACCGGATGATTCCTATATACAAGTCTAGCAAATGTAAAGCAGTACGCAGTGACCAATGACGGGCAGGAAGGGTCAGAGAGGAATCACAAAGAGGCTCAGAGAAACTTGGGGGCATGGACCTGTCCATTATCTTGATTGCGGTGCTGGTTTCATGGGTGTGTTCATGTGTCAAAACTTATCAAATTGTATCCTCTACATATGTTCAGAGGAGCTCTGGTAGCGTAGTGCCTAAGGCACTTGACTGCTAACCAGAAGGCTGGTGGTTCAAACCCACCAGCCACTCCTCAGAAGGAAGATGGGGCAATCTACTTCCGTAGTGATACTGCCTCAGAAACCCAAGGAGGGGTCGCTATGAGTTGGGTCCAACTCGACGGCACACAACAACAACATATGTTCAGAGTATGACATGCCAATGTATTTGCCTTATTGAAGTATACCTCTATAAAACTGTTTAAAAAGAACAAAAAATGTGAAAAGAACAGCAGGACGTTTCTGAAGAACAAGGTGGCAGACATGCACACAGATACTTGATAAATGGCAGAAGCGGTACAGCAAGTATTGGGAAAAGTATGGTTTTGCAATAAATTAAGTTGGGACAACTGGATATTCTATATGGGATAAAATGAAATAAGGCACCTACTGTACACTAAAATACACAACCAATTCCGGGTACATTATGAATCTAAAGGTGAAAGGTAAAACAATACACATTTTAGAACACAGGGTAAGCAAAGATTACTTAATAGGACACAAAACCCACTGACCACTGAGGTAAAGATTGATTTAAAAAAAACTGAAAACACCATAAAGTCAATGAAAGGCAAGCAGAGAACACAGCCCGCACGGTAACAGCTGCACCGCACACACTGGCCAAGGCCGGACTCAGCGCATACAAGGACCTCCAGCTCCGCAGCGAGGACCACCTGGCAAAAGACGTGAGGGGGGCTTCAAAGAGGAGAGCAAAGTGGCCCACAGACAGACACAAAAGCTGCCCGGTTCCACCACGTAACTAAGCAGCAAAGGAGGCTGCCACAACGTAACCGACCGGCAGGCGAAACTGAATAGGCTGACAACAGCAAGCACTGCTAAGAACCTATGAATAGCAGGGCTCTCAGTCATTGCCACCGGACACGATGCAGAGAAGCTGCAGGTCCCTGAGCTAGCAATTCAACTTCGACCCTCCAACAGGGCACGCACACGCACACGCACACGCACGCACGGGGAGACCGGGAGGAGCCCAACCCGAAACCCTGCAATGTCAGTCAACACTCCCCAGTGGTATTTTCATACAATGGAATTCTGCACACAAATGAAAATGACCAAACAGCAGCACACAATACGGCTGAGTATAGAAAACACAAGCTTGAGTAAGAAAACAAGAAAGATTCAAAATAATACACACTGCATGATTTCACTGACTTAATGTTCAAAACCAGGTAGACTAGACTACTTAGTGGCAGAAATGTCCATGAGAACACTTTATAACATTACAAATTACCAATAATTATAATAGCTCTTTTCAGAGATCAAGTGTACTATACTCTCCTGTATTTAAAGGACAGAGAAGGTCAGGACATAGCGCATCACAATGAAGACAGCCTTGCCTCCAGTCTCTGGAACGCTGGGTACACTTTGTTTTTAAGCCAAAAGATGGAGTGGACCAATAGGTGCAGTAGATAGGGAGTAGTTAAAAGGGGTACTTGTTGCATGCACTGTTCTGTACTAGTGTTATATTTCACACGAAGAATCTTTAAAAGTAAACGGATTTACAAGATTGATGATTAGTTATTCACTTTCTAAATTTATTACTAATGACTCCATCAGCTGTATCATCCAAAGGAAATCATCAGGACCTAGTTGTGTGATCAAGTCCTTGAACAACTGAACCTCTCTTGAGCCCCTGCTTCTATAAAATGAGGGTAGCTAGGGCTCGCTAAGGAGCTCTGGTAGCATAGTGCCT